CCATTTATTAAATACCCGAACATTTTGGGTCGGTTCGGTTTTGGAGAGAACTGAACAGAATCGGACAATATCCAGTCCTAAAAAATACTGCATTTAACCATGCTTAGTATACGTATACATTCTACGTGGACTATCTCAATCCTTCCATATTTGGTTTAATTAAAAAAATTAAATCAATATCAATAATTAATTTTAATTTTAATCACCCATTACAAAGGACTAATAAATTTTATCAACTTTTCAACCATATATTTTCTCAACTTCTATCAAAATTTAATAAAAAATTGATTTTACCAAAACTAAACAGAGATTTAGTCTCTGTTTGAGCTACATTCTCAATCTTCTACTCATTTTCAACCACACATTTTTCAATAAAATAATATTTTTCATCACATCAATAATTTTTCTTTCTTTTTCAACCACATATTCATCATCACATCAAAAAAAATACATTATTTCAATTTTAATGTGCATCAAACACACCCTTAGTGTAAAATGAGTCAGGTTGAGTCGAGCTACTAAAACACTGGCCGAGCACATTCAAAAATTTATTTCACGTATTCATCAACTGTTATATTTCATATTTTTTTCTCAATCTTGTACTAAAAAATATTAGTCACGTATATTATTCTATTAAAAGGACTTGTGCACTAAGAAAAGAAAAAGAAATGAAGCCGGCTCACAACATTGTATCTAGCAATCAGATAATACAATTAAACTTCATGGAAATTCCCCAGGACTACAAGAGTATTAAACTGAAACAGTGCAATATTCAGATCCCCACTACACATTAAATACCAAATATGTGGTTCCAACAGCTAATCATGAGAAACTTGAGAGAACTCATGCAGTGGAAAAAATTTAACCTGAAAGAGCAAGAAGCCAATGACAATAATAGAAAAGAATCAGAAGGTACACGAGAACAAGCACAGCATATTCAACAATATACACACACAAATTTTCCCATTGTTTCACAAAAGACACTTCGATTACTAGGAGCTTCCATTTTCCGCTCCACCTGGGTTGACAAAAAGAAGGTGAGAAATAAATAGAACAATGGCAACTACAGGATTTTGAAGGAAGAATTCAGAGAATACTGTGGAAAGTGGAAACAAGCATTAATAAAGAAAATGCTAAGCCATGATCATTTAAAGACTAATAAATGAGCTAAATATATTTAGTACCAGGTTAAGGGAAAAAATACACATTTAAAGCAACAGCAGTGCTTTCCAACATCCACTAACCACGAAGGGACCCGCTAAATTTTCTCCCATTAGTTGTTTTCACTAAAACATAAGGAATTTTGGCAGAAGTCCCTATGAAACTTTCTAACAAAAGCCCACATGAAATATCAAAACCAGAAAGTATTAGCAGAAACATAAGAGATGAGGATGAATTATTTCTGTATATTCCTCAATGAATTGTTACAAAACAATGAATCCAATTTATAATAATTCCTAATCTAAGAAAAGGAAAAGTTTCCTAATCTAAATAAGGTAAGCAATCAATAACGCTTATATCACATAATACACGAGATTTCTATAGTTCCTTAGTGGTGCTTTAGCGGGGGCCATGACCTAAGCCATTCTCACTCCTCTTAAGACCATCAGGTTTTCTGTTTCCCCTTCCCTGATTCTGGTTCTAGTTGTTTTTGCATAATAGTTCAATTGCGATACATTATTTGATTAAGCTTTTAAAGGACAATTCATGTCAAAACCTTAGAGGCAATACGCTGGTGATTAGAAATTCAGGAACATTTTCTCGTGGTACGTATGCCAATTTACTTGAAATGAGGCAGTTCATTTTTGCGGTGTGAATTTATATAGAGTTCCATGCAAGCGTGAATAATTGCTTAGACATGGTTTCTGTCCCCTTCTGTCCTGTTGAAACAAAAGTTGACTGATGAAAATTTATTCGTAGCATTGCAGTATGTCAACTTCCATTGGCTTAGAATCCATTTCTTTTTCTCTATTTCGAGAACTTTTAATGCACTTCAATTTAACCTCTGTATAATAACTTGCTTCCTTGGAACTAAGTTCTACCAGAATTTTCAACTTGATTTCAAAATCAAGATAATGCTCTCACCCTCTTTAATTTGCTTCTTCAAACTGGCTTTTCCAGCTTGTGTTTACTTGAAGATCATTGATTTGAAGGCAGTATTCTATTGTGAGTGAATGCTATTCTCTTTGAGAAACCTAGGAAAATGTAAAA